GCCGGTAGAATACTGGTATACTCAACGGTTAGCAATGCTTCTTTTTAAGGACTACTTTGCTTTCAATAATCCAATTTCGTCGGGCGGGGCACCTATGCCACAGCTATAAGATATGCCTCACAAATCTGTGATTGGCACCGTCATCTAGCTGATGGTTGAAGGTCTAAAGGGCTATTTCGCTTCCAGTGGAACCAATTTCATCGAGCGGGGCACCTATGCCATAACTGTAAGATATGCCTCGGTACCATCAATTTCACAGGAATTCCAACTCCGTCTCAACGATCAAAGTAACTTTAGTTTTGACGAATTATTCAATTTCGCTGTTAAAAAGGCCGATTTCGCCTGGGGCGGAATTTTTCTGGAGAGAAGACTTGTGAATTTCCCGGGGAAGAGTTAGGGGCACGAAGCATCGAAAGAACCCCTTGTCGAGGAACCAGCCTACTTCAACTGAAAGCGCGCTTGGCCTTGCCCCTTCGACCACTTCTCCCTCGGAAAAGACGACAGAGAGCCCACAAGCAGCTGGTAGAGGATTCATCGTTCACGGCCGCTTCGGACTCTCGGTAGAGTATATCGGGGACGTCACAACTGAGTGGAAGAGTACTAGTCACAGCCGCTGAACCATGGTGACGGAGGCTTCAATACCGTCGTGTTGCAAGAAGTGCACGCGGCGACAATTGTGCGCCGCACATTGTGCGGCCCAGTGTATCGTCTGCTCCGTGCAGGCACGCGTACCTTTACATCAGTTAGCCTTTCATCGTTGGTTCGTTCAACGAAGCCTCTCATCGACTTAGTACAAGGTTGAGATATCAAACTCCCCGATACAGCTGAGAGGACCCCTCTCAGAGGTGGTTGCTAGGATCAGAAGGATCAGAACATCATGTCACAATCTGTACAGATACCACTCCCTCACGCTATCACGTTCAAATCTACCGTTGAAATTGTAAGTTATATCCATGATCCTCTAGCGGTGTCTATAGAAGGGGAGATTGACTTGCTTATGTAACCACTCCCGAGCTTGTCAGTCCATGTACGTTGTCCATGAGGGTCCGCCCTCGCTGTCCATACGACTCTTGGCAGCTCGAGAGGAGATGTGCCTGAAGTGGTTACTACGAGTGCTCTAGTCGAAAGCTCTGATGTGTACAATAGAACCTTGCTGTGATGAAGGTGCTATGAAGGCTATTCGGGTTCTGTGTTGGAAGGAATTCGTGGCGCAGTGAAGGCTCCATTACATGTCACTCGCTCATCAAATAGTAGAGTTTTAGCCATCCACAGGCTTCAGTGTGTTAGTGTGCCAATATGGGGTACTCTGATGGTTGTCTTTAGCAGTAGGAGTATTCTCCAGATGTCAGAGGAGTTCACAATGGAGATAGAGGAGTCGGAGTGCCCTCATAGAAGGCCACAAGTTGACCGAACTAAGTTCACCAGCTCTGCGATGGGTATGGTTGGGAGGACCTCAGATTTCAGTAGTGCTCATTTGTGGGTCGAAACTGTAGTGCCGTTGTTGGGTAGGTGACGGTGCGGCGTCACCGTATCATCCAGTCAGCCCTAGGGTCTTCCTTCCGTCGCCATCGATCGCCTATAGGCAGCTACCGAGGGAAATGTGAGGGTGAGGGGGGTTGCATCGGTTCGAGGATGGTTCGTCAGGGAGGAGGAGCTCTCGTCCCCTAAAGCGGATCCTGTGGCAGGCGTGCAGATTCTGGCGGACCAGACGGAGATTGGTTTCAGGTGACACACGTCTGGGGAGAAAACGATTTTATTGTGTCTGGAACTGTACAGGTTTACTGTGCGCAGTGTGGGAGAATTTGCAAATGGTGAATTACGACTATATGGAAATTGTGGGACAATTTTAGGGAAAGTCTTGTTGGTTCGTATAAACCTTCACGCGAATTCGTATATGTGCGCGATGACCAACACTGGAGTTGTTGTCAGAGATACTAATGACGACATAACGGCAGATCCCAAGAAGGATTTGTACAAGGCGTTCTTTGAGTGGGTGGACCTCAATCAAGATGTAACCGTTAGAGCCTGGCTTCCAGTGTGGGGAATATATGCACATGATCAACTACATGTGTTGGAGGGAATTTTGGAAAATTTTTCATTTTACCAGTACACTCCTGTTTGTATGGTGTGCGCTGAGGTCAGGAGCAGTGGGGGAATATATGTTTGGTTCTCTCAACTGAGCTCGGGCAAATTTCCTAACTATATTATGAAAAATTCACACGATTTTGGGTAGAAGTGTATCAAAAATCAACGATAATTTCTCAAAATTTCCGCAAAATTTCCGCAAAATTTCCATATTCCTAGCTGGACATGTGCATATATTCCCACACTGCTCAGGAGTTTCCTCACTAACGATTGAATTCTGGTAGAAGTTCACAGAAACCAATAGAAATTCCTCAGCATTTTCACACTGTCACCAACACATGCAGTCGGTCATGTGCATATTTTCCTCCCGGACACGTCTGTTAGGTTTTCATCTCACGTTTGGCGGAGTGTGTGGCCATTCCGGGGGTATCTGGAGACCCTTCTAGACGGCCTCAGGTGAGATGATGGTGTTTTCGAGGGGGGACGTATGCCCATAGGTTATCCAAACGATAGCGTGGGCAACGAGATGGTGCGAGGCTCTGGGAGGGATGATAGATGTTGTAGACTTGGGCTTACAGACGTTGGTGGATGGTGAGTCGTTGAGGAGGGGCGAGGGTTGAGGCGCCATTTTGGCAGGAAGTAAGATACCACTCCCACCGGTACTGTTCTGTACTTTCGAGAGTGGTAGTAGTAGTACTACGAGTCCGACCTTGTGCGTGTATGGGCATCTCGATGTAAGAGGGGAAGGCTTTGGATGGAAAATATGGAAAATTTTAGGAGGAAATTCTTAGTGGTTTCTGTGCATTTCATGTGATGTTACATAGTAAGTGGGGATTATCGAAATTTTGAGGAAAATTCCGTAGGAAATTCGTATTTAGTTCTGTGCATTTCTACCGAAATTTTCATGAGAAGTGATGTAGTAAGTGAAGGAACTCCCAAAGTGAATTGAATGAAGCGAGCATATATTTTTCCCGGACAAACTTGATGGGGGCAGGTCCAGCCAGCTGAGAGGGACGACGGTTGGGACACGGAGCCGTTCGAGCTGACTGAGATCGATGGAAATTTGTAGACGAGGATGGCGGGTATGGGTTCTGAATGGGTGTTGGTGAAGGTACGGTAGAGGTGCCACTGACGATAAGGGTCCTGTTCTCTGCTGGTTGTGGTTTGTGGAGTTCCATAGGAAGTTCAACTTGCCTCTACCATGCAATATCAAGTGAGTAGGCCTCTTCTTCTCCGGGACACGGAGCCGTTCGAGCTGACTGAGATCGATGGAAATTTGTAGACGAGGATGACGGGTATGGGTTCTGGATGGGTGTTGGTGAAGGTACGGTAGAGGTGCCACTGACGATAAGGGTCCTGTTCTCTGCTGGTTGTGGTTTGTGGAGTTCCATAGGAAGTTCAACTTACCTCTACCATGCAATATCAAGTGAGTGGGCCTCCTCTTGATCGGTCGAGCTCATCTACAGTGGTGGGAAATATGCACATGGTCAACTACATGTGTTGGTGATAATATGAAAATTTCAAGGAAATTTTGGGAAAATTTTGTTGGTTCTTCCACACTTCTACCCGAATTCGTGTGTGAACTTCATAATATTTGAGGAGAGTCCCGAGCTCGGCTGAGGAAAGCGATTTTATTTTCAAACACTACTCATGCAGGTGTGTTTTCGAAGGGATGGAGGAGTCGGGCTCGGAGGGCCTTGAGGAGTGCCTTAGGGTAGTAATGCTTTGTACGTAATGTTAGAGGGATGCCGCCTCAGTCGGTGAGGGAGACGTTTTTTTCTGATGTCGATGGTACTTGCATTTCGGATAACTATTGGCTGGGAAGGAACCGTCCGTGTCTGACATTTGGAATTCGAGGAGCTGCTTATTTTGCAGTGGAGGTGATGGGACTGGTGACACCTTGGGGGGGAAGGTGGTGACAGGTCCGTGGGGGGCAGAAGGATCTGCATTCGGGCTCTCATGGAGGGGCTGTGCAGGAGCCTCTGAACGACTTGATGAAAGTGAGCTCGATGAGAATGCCGGCGTGTGTGTAGTGTTGGAGGGCCTCAGTTGCTGTCGAATCTTGTGGATAGCAGCGGAAAGATTCTGGTACCTGGAATTTACGAGGAAGTGGTGGAGTTGACCGCTGAGGAGAGGGAGAAGTAGTTGAGGGAGTGTTTAGATCTGAGGAGCTCACTGGAGTTGTTTTAGGTATGAAATTTGTGACTTTGATATTGCGGGATATGCGAATGATGGTGTTGGAGGAATGCCGCTCCTTTTTAACGTAAGTAGTTGGAAAATTGCCGGTGGGTGGATTCGAACCTGGGTGTTCTGATTAGAACTCTACGGACATCCTCATGGGCCGCTCTCGCTATCCATCGTTGTCACTACATGGCATCGAAGGCGCCTTTTCTGGAGCGGGGGGAAAGACTGTTATCCCTCGGACGGTCATTGGTATGTGAATCTTATCGGACTTGGTGACTTTGAATTTCCTCAGGGAAGTTCTCCATCCGCACTGTACCTAACATGGCAGTAGAGCACGTCGAGGAGTGTGTGAAGAGACACCTGGTGAAGGTGTTCGACGGGCTGGGCAGCAGCAATAGACTTAAAGTCAATTGTTTACTCGCAGCTCGGGTAAGGCGTGTGGTTGTGTCTGCGTTTCCTCGAGGGGGTTGGTTTCTGTCAGCCCTGGGTTGGCAATATAGAGGATTTCAATTTCAAAGCGGCGGCGTCGGCGACCAGAATAGTGAGCAGATCTCGGTGAGAGGGAGAGAGGAGGAGTGTGCGCAGGTTCATAACGGGCAGGAGCCGGACTACACTCGCGAGGGGGGATCTATTCCTATTACGCTGACGTTCGATGAGGTAGGTTGGAGGGCCCTGCATGGGCTGTTTTTTCCAATGACACTGATGCGATGGAATTCCACCGAACATATTTCACGTCTACTACATGCTGCGAATATCACGTTTTTCACCAAGTATTGAGCGACTTCACGTAAAACGGGTAAAACTCCAATGCGGATGATGAATAGTTTGCATTACTGCATGGTAGAGGTATAAGTATAATTTTGATAATATCAAGTATCGTCAGAAGCATGGAGTGGGAGCCCTCCTGTATTGCAGGTGACTGGAGGGAAGCCGCTGATTTTACTCCCGATAGGCCAGGGCGATGACGGCGCACATAGTCAGAATGAAAAGATATCGCGATGGAACTACATAACGGGGGTGAAGACACTAGGAACGTGAGTCGGGTGGGAAGGAGGAGGAGGAGGGGGGTGAGGTGGCTGGGCTTAGGTATGTGTATGAGTTTGCCGAGATGGCGATGAAGGCCCGGGGGGAATGATGGCTGTATGGGGCTTCGCTAACACATGTTTTCCATGTTCATTGAAGGTCTATGATTGACCGCGAGATTTAAGTCAGTTTTTTTACTCATCTTGGCATCGGTCTTAGTTTTTGATAGCACTTTGGGTCTATTGTGTTGGGGGGTCTATATGGGAGTTGGTCCATGGAGGTTCAAATGGGGTATTTTTTCTTCAGAATTTAAGTATGCGATGCTGATGGGGAGAAGAGGAATTCGAGGCTTATGATGAACTATGGAAGAGATTATTATGCGTAGAGCGACGAGGTCGCCGGAAGGAAGGAGGTGGTTATAGTATGGCGGCGTTCTCATACCACACTTCGTTGACTTCCTGTTTAGAAGATGGCATGAGGTGAGAGAAGGTATCAAGATGCTCGATGGAGTTTGGATAACGCTCCTCTATACGGTAGGTGTATGCAGAGTCTGTCGCTGCGCTCGCTAGATGAGGTGGAGGAGCTCTTCGTGATAGGGTTCGTGTGCATAGTAATCCTTCTAGTGTACTTGATATCATCTAATGAGGGCTCTCGCAGGTGTTCAGTTTTCCCATGTAGTTATCGTTCTCAAACGTGGTAGCCCAGCTCATGGTGGCAGTCGCCACAAGCAGACACCTGGGATGATCGATGTTAAGAAAGAGTTTTTCCACCTCTTTATAACATTCTCCTTATATCACTAGCAATTAAGTACTTTCGGCATTATATTAACCCCGGTGAATTCTTTATTTCACCGTCCGACGTTAAAAACAAACAAATAAACTAACCGATGTGAAATAGTGTGAGGCTGTACTGATGCCGTTGTCGATCATTAGGATGAGATGCGGGAGGCGTTCAATCTCTTTCACACCACTGACCAGAGTAGTATGATCGACCCAGAGGAGCTGAAGGCCGCCATGTACAGTCTAGGATTTGAAACGCAGCATCCTACTGTCTACGAGGTGGGTTCCTCTTGGGGAGGCGGTCATCTGCCCGTCAGTGTTGATAAGATGTATATTCTAATATGAGGAATTATCGTACTATGGAAAGAGGCTTTAATGTATGTACAGGTGGCTTAGTCATAACTTGTCATAGCCGACGTGTTATAGTATCTATTATATAGCATTGGAAAGCCATTTTCGAGTACTACATGAATGTATGTTCAACCGTTTTATTGACTGATTTCAAGTTGGCACTTTGTAGTTGATGAGTACACGGTTAGTGTGACGAACGGGTTTATTCAGGTGGCTGTTGATTTCGAAGAGTTCCTGGACAATACTGCCGACAAGCTGGTGGGTGCATGATGTGAAGTAGTGGGACGATGGTGTTTGGTAGACGAGGCAAGGAGTCCCGCATGAAGGGGATAATGAGGTTGTTCAATCTCTTTGATGATGATAAAACAGGTACGGCTATTCGTGTCCTCGTGACGGCCGCAAAAGATCTTAAATGTTTTTATAAATCGTAGTAAGCGTTCCTGAAACTATACTTATAAGTACGCTAGAGTGAAGGGCTAGAGATGAGGAGACAACACACATAGAAAGGACACAATACTTGATCGTTTATAGTCATCATCCATCTACAGAGGCATTTGATTCTGCACCAGAGTTTAGCTCTTTGTACAGCGAGGGAGGCGTTGGAAATTGGTGTGATATTTTCTGAGACTTCTTCTAATGAGGGGAAGTCGGGCGAAGATGTGGAGGAGTTGGAAACGTGGGTCCATGTGATTGGGAGCACTAAAGGTTGTTGATATCTTAGGTTGATTTGTGTTGGATACGGATTAGGTCCAAAATAGTGCTCTTGCTACTAGCAAGAAAATTTTATTCTAATGATGGCTTCTTGCCCTACCGTTTCGGCTGCTATCACTGGTAGCAATCCTGATGTCTTGACTTCCACATCGGCTATTTCACCACAGCCAGAGTTCTCACTTCCCGTCGTGCGCAACTGCTTCATCCTGCGTTTCACGGGTCAAGGGTCACGTCCAAGTAGTAGTTGTGGACAACCAGCGCAAGGCTTTCCTGAGCTGAAGTCGATCATCGCCCAACTACTAAGTTTTGGCGACATGCAGAAGCTGGAACTCCAACATTGGCGCGAACTTGGTGTTATCATCGCATGTTACTTCGACACTCGCGATGCAGAGGAGGCGTTTGATTATATGCTGGGGGAAGAGGCCTGGCAGGTCATCTGGTCGGAAGGTCACCAACAAGATGCTTATTTCGTGAGCATCCCGGCTAAAGATCTCGCAGTATGTGATCCTAATCAGTATGGGGATATGGCGAACATCTTGTCCCCACCAGGGAATGCTGCTGTGGATTTGGAGCTGTTGATTCAATTCTTTGACTGTAGGGCTGCTCGAGCGATGCGGGAAGCCCGAGAGAAGACCCTTACCGGACTAATGATCGACGACCCGGGCTCGACCTTTACGGCATGCAGCAGTTTGGTTGGTCCTGCCGATTTCGGAATCTCGAGCCTTGTTAACGTTGGATCATCTCCGTGGCTGTTGGATACCATATCCCGTGTTCCATCATTGGCACGTCCCCTTAAAGTGTCCTCTAGGCCGCCGTTACCTTACAGCAGTAGTCTCGTTGAAACGTCAGGTGGTGTTCGTGGGAACTACTGTATTGACCTTGATGGTTGTCGGGATGATCCTCGCACAACGATTATGATAAAACACATTCCAAATAAGCTGACTCAGCAACTAATGTTGCAACTGATTGATGGAGTGGCAGCCCAATGTTACGATTTTTTCTATCTCCCTATTGATCTGCGCAATCGCTCTAACGTCGGTTATGCCTTCATTAACTTCGTGGACCCGACGCAGATTGTCCCATTCTATAGGAAATTCCATGGCCTTTCCTGGGAGAGTTTTAACAACTCTAAAAAAATCTGCCATCTGAGCTATGCGAGAATCCAAGGAAAGGATGCGCTTATGCGGCACTTCAGCTCAGCAACGCTTCCAAAGAACCCTGCAATGCAACCGTTGTTCAGAGTTGGTCATAGGCTGTATCCTCTTCGTGTGCCGGGATATACCAATAGACACGCCAACTGTGTGGCTGCTATGACACCACCATCATCATCATCTTCTATTATGTCATTAAATGGTCTTTTACCAAAGCCCGTTAGGGCGCGAACGTTGCCTGTTACACAACGCTCGCGTGAATGGTCATGATTGTGTTACTTTCAATTGCTGACTCTTTCGTGAAGTTAGCTGTTCAGCTGCTCATATTGAGAAGATCAGAGCTGATGGCATGGAGGAACTACTTGTCTTGGTCTCAATTGGGAGTTTCTCAGCCCAAGTCGCTTCTACTTGTTCGTATTTGTGGTGTTACCTCCAGCGAATTGTCACCCTATACAATTTTTGTTGCTAATACTATAAACAGAGACATGTATTTTACCCTATTGTAGTCATAATGTGTATTCTCATCGTTGTTGTCAGTTATGCTATTGTCTCATTGTAGTCGTTGTTCAATAGTTCAGGTCAACCGATTAGTAGTCAGTTATCGATTCTCCCGCCAATTCCTTTGTCAAGTGGGCCTCCGTTACATGTGGCTGGTGACCGTTAAATTTCCGAAGCACTAAGTGCAATTGTCATACTCAAAGTCTTGAAAACAGCCTCAGCTCAAGTGTCGGTCTATTATGAAGATGTTGTTTGGTTGAGCTAGTCGTGATTCTATTGTTTCAAGAGGGTTGGGAGGTGGTGGACAAAGATGCTATGGAAATGAAATGCAGTTCCATGGGGTAGTTTTGTAGTGACTTCCCGAGGTCATCCGAGATTCAGAAAGTAGCCCTCTCCTTTCTATGTAGAGATACATAGTGGTATTAGCGATAGAGTCACTGAGCGATGATTGGTATGCTGATGGAGTTTGTTGGGGGACGGGTCTCATTAAAAAGGCCCTGTGGGTTCATCATGATGTGGGCGTATGATTGATAGCATCCACTTGACGCGATATACGGTTTAAGTAGCAATATCCAATGGGCTCTTCCAACAGTGAATTCATACTGTAAGATGCTGCTGCATCATTGTCGCTGTCCCAATCCACAATATGTCTTCCTAGGCTGGAGGATTCCCTCAGCTAAGATTATGAGGAAGATAGTCCACATCGATTAAGTTTAATCATGTTGTTGCCTTGTAAGAACAATTCTCCTGCAATTATATCCAGTGTAGTGGTATCTCAAATCTCAATGGGAAAATCACTAATAATACGCGTAACGGCAAGAGGCACTATTCACTCACGTTATCACGAGATGTGTTGTTAAGAGGAACTGTTGAAGACAACGCATTGGGTTGGGCAAAGTGATTAATATACACAGCACAGCAGAATGGTGTCATGAAGTGATGATGTTAGTAATTCATTTGTTTATGATTCGGTGAAAGCTCGGTATGTCGGGTTGGGAGGCGTTCTTGGCCAGCAAACTATGGACATACAATACTCAAAGTCGACAGGAAGGACCTACCGGGCTGAGAAATTAGATGAACACCTTGTAGAGGAGCTCATGCTGCTTCTGAGGCTCCTAGAGGACCGTGCCCTTCGGGAGCTGCGAGGCAGGCTACTGTTCAATCTATGATTATGAGGTATTCGTGGCTCGAAGACTGAATAGAAGAAAGTGTTATCACAGTGTCGAACTTGGGTGATGCCCTACGGCGTGCTGAAGGTTCGGCGCGGTGAAAGCGTTGTTTACCAGCAGGGCTAGTGTTGAGTCTGTTGAGTATTAACCACGGCCTGGTGAAAAAATCCACCTGATGGAAGCACAGTAAAGTTGATTGAAAGACCTCCTTAATGATACTGATGTCGTGGTGAGGCTTTTATAACTGGGTCTCTCTATACGCGTGTTCAATGGGTGATAATAGTGTTGCCAGTGCTCTCGTCCTAAACACTCCCGCCAGAACTCATCCTGACATGAGGCACTATCCGGACTGAGCCGTAACGTCATTGAAAGCTCACCTGGAGGCATGGGGTGGCCTCTATGAGGAAATTCGCATGTCCACAACGAGCCATGAGACGTTAGTTCAAATGGCGATGTGGAAAATCTTATCGCGGATTTTAGGGCGCGCGCTAAACATCTTGCGCACACCTGTCGTGGTGATCAACAAAGCAGCTGAGAAGAAGTCCTTATCAGTCAATGGTTGCCGTTGCTTCGAGTGGGCCTGAAACGGTTTGGTCCATCTCCCTCACGGCTCTGACGCTACTCATCGCGTTGGCTCTTGGAGTTTACCTCTGGACCATCTTCGTAGAGACTAAGCCGCCTCGAACAGTGCGGAATTGTATGCTCATAGTACTGATGATGATCACTATAGTGGAGGTAAGTCAACAACAACAACACTCCAGTGTGAGAGATTCAACTCAGGTTTACTTGTACACTACAGGGCTAGCATCTTGTTGGTGGCTTAACTTCATTCTCGTAACGACTTTGTGTAACTTCTGGGGTCTTCTGGACGTCCTTTGGACCTTTCCCCGTGTGCGAGATGCCGATTCGTGGCAATCAGTCAAACTCGTTGGTAAGTCCATCATCGATCTCGTCGCTCCGAGTGGCCCCCCTCAGTCCTGCTTATGCTGAAGACCTTTGTCTACTGCCTTTCCCTCGCATACAACCCCCGTAGAGCCGTACTTTATATGGTCACTACATTCACCAACGTTTGGCTTCTTCCTATAATGTACTCAGCTGTCGTTGTTTTTTTTGTGAAGGAAAAAATCAGGTTTCTGGTTGCCCTACCACACGGCTATGAAGTCGCTGAGGGTCCTCGTCTGGACCAGCCTCAAATAGAAGATAGTAGCCTTGGGAAGGTGTCTTTGTGGCGTATATCACCAGTGTGGGGGAAAATATGCACATATGTTGGTGACAATACGAAAATTCTGAGGAAATTTTTGGAAAATTCTCGTTGATCCTTGTACATTTCCACCCTAGTTCGTATACAATTAGTGATGAATTACAGTATTTATTCATCAATCACATCATCGTTTCAGTTGCGGTATCACTCTGGAGAGTCATCACTAGTCGCCTTCATCGAGAGCAGACGGTCGCGTTATTACAGGATAAATTCCATCATGAAACCACAGCCTTTATAAGGCTCTTCTTTCCTATGGCATGTCAGAGGTAGAGCCCAGTGGGTGCATCCAGCTGAGAATCGGCGGCGCTGTATTTCAGATGGTTGTCTCAACACAACGATTATCTTGATCGGAAGTTAGGTCTTGATCGCCGCTTTATTTGACTTTGTCGTAGTATTATATCGCTGTACTCATAATATTCATGATTTGATATCGTTGTTGTTATTCCCTGATTTTGTGTTCATATCAACTACGAGGTCTTCCTGCAGTTTAGTCGTTATGGACTATGTTGACTGCAGGTCGTTCATGACGTCCGCTGGAGCGGTTACCCGACTGGGGGAGGCACGGCATGATTCACTGTGATGGCACAAGGCTGATTTCCCAAAGGAGTGGTATGTGCAGGTACGGCATGCGAACCCGCGGTATCACGGCTGTTGAACAAGTCTTTCCTCGACCGCAACGAGCGAAGAAGTAAGTTCATCGTGAATCGTTCTTGTGGGGTTATCATGTACTTAGCCACCTGGTGAAGTCAGCGAGCTCCAATATGCCTTCAGCGTGGTGTCATCCACTATCGCGTATCTCGTGTGCGAGGAACTCTGATGTGAATAGTTTGCCTGGGGGATGGGCCTATGATGGTAGTATAATGGGAAGGAACGATTATTCATGGGAATAATCGTTCACGTCGGGTGTTGTTGTAGGGGGGTTTGACGATTTACTGGATAGAATGGAGCCATGGACCTTTACGCATAATCGTTTGGTGAGCCGAAGTCTGTACGAGAAACGCAACAAGTGGGCTGCGAGCGGTTACGACTTGTTGCGACCTGAACATACTGATGTAGTAGAGCTGTGGAGGTATGGAGTCGTTTTGAAGGAGTTTATAGTTACCAAAACGAGGGAAGCCGCCCTACTGGGAAGTGAACGAAACTGGCAATAAACTGGTGGGGTTTTCGAGCTCCTGTATAACGAGATTGTGTATTCATATCGCATAATCTAGCGCTACTCTTAGTAACTATACTCAAATTGAAGATTTAGTGTACTCAACGATTCGGTGAGAGTTTCGGTGTCAGGGCACGGCACGGAGCGATACTCTACACAAATGGTCGTGCAGTAGTGCATATGATATGCATAAACCAACAGCAGTGAGGAAGCCCGTATGGTGGAGCTATAATGTTTATCCTCGCGCGAGGCTAGCTGTAGCAGCTACTATGAGCCGATCGCATGTACAGTAGTTGTAGTTGGTGTGAGTCGGAAAATGTTGGGTTCATAGTGCTACTTTTCCAAAACTCTCCGACGTGTAACACACTGTATTGAAATTCATACTAGGACTCAGCTTACTGAGCCCCTTGCACTGGGCATCACAGAGATTGATCGAAATGATAGTACGCGTTGGGAGAGCATAGAAATTATACTGTTAAAGTATGGGGCCTCGTAAGAAGCCTGGTCCTAAGCCGGGGACCAAGAAGCCTGCAGGGATGGGAGGGCAACCGGATGATGATGGATATGCTCCTTTTCATAAGCTCGTTAATCATCCGCCGTTGGTGCCGTCCTCAGCGGTAATAGTCCTTTACGAGATCAACTGCTGAGAGGAGCGTTCAGGTTTATGCCACGTTTCTTGGTATGGAGGCTGGATCTGATACGGAGAGTGCTCGAAAGTAGTAGTAGTAGTAGTAGTAGTAGTAGTAGTAGTAGTAGTAGTAGTAGTAGTAGTAGTAGTAGTAGTAGTAGTAGTACTAGTAGTACTAGTAGTAATAGTAGTAGTAGTAGTAGTAGTAGTAGTAGTAGTAGTAGTAGTAGTAGTAGTAGTAGTAGTAGTAGTAGTAGTAATTGTTTCCATTTAGACGAACTGTTGGCGCCCTCTGTTACATTATCGAGAATTCTGATCTTCCACAAGCAGAGGAGGATGCTATTATGTCGGTCATAATGAGAGCAATGATCAAAGTCCCCGATCCGGTAGTGTCTCGATGCGATTCGGGAGAGTTATGGTACTATTTTCAGAGTAAAGGAGATCCTCGAGTATTCAATTGCTTTGAAGGGTGGGCTCAAAGGGAGATGTGTAAAGCGAAGGATAAAGACCCCGAACGGTGAGTTGAATCATTCGGTGATAATATGAAAATTCTGAGGAAACTTCGGGAAATTTTCTTTCGTTTTCGTAAATTTTTTCTCGAATTCGAGTGTTGGAGAGGAAATTTCTGAGTTCAGCTGAATCTGCGTTGATGATAATATGAAAATTCTGAGGAAATTTCGGAAATTTTTTTTGTTTTGGTACACTTCTACCCGAATATTTCGGAAATTTCTGAGTTCGGCTGAGGAAACCAAAAAAATATTTCAAGTTGGAATATTTTTTTGGTTTTTTTTGGTTGGAATTTCCAACACTGTTGTTGATTCTGGTCAGGTACCAAGCGATCGTTGGTGCTCTTCTGGAAATTTATAATAAAAAACTCAACAGAAAATACCCAAAGTACGGCTTCATACCATCGCGTTTACTAAGCTTGTTCACTGTCAGGTTAATACGCGATCCCGGTGCTGAACATGCGATTTTCCGCTCAGCATTAATGCACTATTGTGCCACAGGGAGTATAGAAGCATGGTAGAGGACATGATACGTCGTAGTGGATTTTCGAGCGCTGTTCTTTTTTCCAGTTTGCACGATCTTCAGCGGAAGACTCGACAGTGGAATGTCCTGCCACGAAGAGAGAAGCGAAAAGTAAAGGAAGAGGATGGTAAGCGCAATTCGCGGAGCGGAGTTTATTTTCTGCGGTTTCGTGCAATAATCTCTCAACGACTGTATATCACATATGAAGGGGTGGAGGAGAGGCCGGTGTAAAGATATGAAAATACTTTCTCATTGTTGGAATATATGTCCGCTTACTTCAGCTGAGCTTAGGAGTTCCCTTGCTGATTATAGAAGTTTATATACGAATTTGGGTAGGAATGTAAAAGGAATCAACGAAAATCTCGCGAAATTTTCCCAAAAATTTTGATGTTGTCGCCAACATATGCGGTTGGTCATGTGCATATTTTCCCACACTGTTTGTATATTCGTATAAACTGCGACTCCAATAAGCGGAAAATGCGCATACCGAGAATTGAACCCGCGACCATTACGGTGCTGCAAAAAATGTTCGCTTTCCTCAGCTGATGAGCTCAATACTTTCCCCACTTATCAAAGGAGTTCATATACGAATTGGAAGAATATATAAGTAGTGTACAGAAACTAACAAGAATTATCCAAAATTTCCTCAAGAGTTTTGATATTGTCACCAACACATGTGGTTAACCATGTTCATGTTTTACCATACCGGACCGTTACGACCACTTCGAGCTCCGTCTCGAGGGCGAAGTAGTAGTCCCAGATTGCTTCCGCTTTCCTCAGATGTAGAGTTATCGAGTGGATCGTTCAGTTCTGGGTCCATGAGCTCGTATGAGATTGATGAAAATGCTGAGGCCAGTACTCGTCCGAAGAGTCTGTGGTCTGTAAGGTGCGTCGTATGGGAGGAAGGCAAATATTCTATTCACACGAAGAAACGACTTATACGTTTTATCTGTTTTATCATGGTTCCACAAAATGACATTTATGATTTCGTATGCATCCTCTAGTATCTTTCACATTGTATGTGTTATCTCCTACAACAGCTATTCAAAAGCTTTAGACTTCTGACATACTCAGCTTGTTCGAGGATAAAATTTTTCTCTATTTTATCGATGCACGTTTTTTCTTGTACGCTTTCATCTTCGTCAAAATTCTTCGTAGTTTGAATGTTTCTGATGAGGAATTAACTCTACTTGACGAGTAGGTGTAGTGAAGTAGCAGCCGAGTGGGAGCGAGTTTTGCGGCGAGCGGTTCATCCAGAGCGGCATCATCGTGAGTGAAAGCGTTCGCTATACCTCCGTATGTCGTCTCCTTAGGAATGGATCCGGATGATCTTCAGCGTAAAGTTTATCAAATGGGTGACGAGCCGTGGAGAATCACCCAGGCTGATCTCGTCAAGGTATCTCGTGTGGGGTGAATACTGTGTGAACCAAACCGTTATGCAAAGTAGTGTTTTCAACACCTTCAATTTTCGGAAGTCAACTTGATAACAATGTGAACACTAACGTTTTAGAAGCGTTTTGTGGTCTTTGGTCGTACTCTGGAATAGAATCTCGGAAATCTAGATGTTTGGTTCACACTGTATACGTCCATGGTCAAATACATGTGTTGGTGGCAATATGAAAATTGTGATGCAATTTTGGAAAATTATCGCTGGTTTTTATATACTTTTATCGTTGTTCCTTTTCACAATGTAGTGAGAAACTCCACTAGCTCGGCTGAGGAAAGCGAATTCATATATGCTCGCGCTGATATTAGTCTTGCGACAGGTGCTCCGGTCTGCGGCTTCTTTTCCTCGTGAGGAAGCGACGAGGATCGACCTTCCTGAATGGTTTCTAGAAGAACTCACGTTACTAACGCCTCAAAAGCACGAGTTTGAGAAGCACGTTGTAACTCTCAGAAAAGTATTCCCCAACGTTTTTACCCGCGTCAAAACAGTGGTGTTGTTTTTCAGCTGCCAACATTCAGCATCCACCGAGAGTTGCTCATGAGACTTCTGCGCTGTGAAAGCCAGATGTTCAGCCTGGAGGATATGACTGCCACTATCAACACTCTCATCGACGCTCGCCTGCAGTTCAACGAGGATCCTGCCGCACCCAAGGGGTGAGTTTTTCATTCTTGCTGGTTCTTTTTATTTTTTAGTTTCACAAGAGCACTCTGAAATTAACAAGAGCCTGTTGTTGTTTGTTTGTTTTATTTTTGGGCGAATAAAATGACTTTGTTGAATTCGCGAATTGATTTTTTCAATTATAATTTCATCCCAAATTTTGGTTATTTGTCATTATTTCAGAATCCCCTACGCCGAAGTGAATGGTCTCGTATTCGACGGAGACCGAATCCGTCTATGGTATAACTTATTTTGGTGCCCTTCAGCTTTGAAGCTCCGCCCAGCGGCCGTTTGCCGCTTGAGCATCGCAATACTTCTCCAATTTTGTGGAAAAAATTGGCGAGCGATGCGGATCCCTGGAGGGGTAACTACTATGGCGGCTAGAGTATCACAAGCCACACAGGCTTCGAGGGAAGAGGCTTGGAAAGGAGTTGACAAGAAGGACGTGTTAGTTAGCATGCTGAGGAGACAAGCTACCAGCCAGAATAGCTTCAACTTTGACTCGTGGTGACGCTTTCATTGTTGCACATTTTCCACTATCCGTGTACGTTTCGATGCAAAAGAGAGAGATTTGTGTATGAAAAGTGTTTATGATGTACCCCTCGGGATAGTAAACACTCGCAATAAATATGTATGTACTTTCGCACGATAAGTTCCTTGTCATTCACTTACATCATTCGACGTATCATTTCTCATCAACATCATATTCATGCAGAATCAGTGAAAATCTTTATAAACCTAGTCAGATCCACTGACAGCCCTTGCGTTGATTATATGATAGCGTTGATTCGCCTGATTCCACCAAGAGTATTCCAACAGCATTTAGAATGTTAGTTCGAACAGGAGATCGACTAGGAAACGAAAGTTACTAACACAACAACAAACTTGGAGTTTTCAGTTCATAGCAAAATGAATTCGATTAGGGAGTTCACGACCGGATCTCTTCACGCATTGTGCGATAGGAAGAAGACGGTGAATATCACAGACAGAAACTAACGGAAATATATCAGACAATCTATCAATCTACTTGGCAGCCCCACATCTTTTTGAACCGAGGCACTAACACAGCTAGAAGGGCACCAGAGCAACCCAAATACACGGACTTCACCACGAAGCCCGCATAGAGACCACTGAGACCTCGAGTGGCATAAATTTGGCCTGCAGTCTTGAACACGTCGGACACTCCGGACGCGAAATAATGAGGTCCCAACTTAGGACGAGGAATGGCGGAGTTGAAAGTCTCAGTGATGGCATTCTTCTGAATGACAGTACGGACCACATCGGTCCAGCAGTTGAGGACGACGCCAAAGACTCCAGCGCCGAAACCCGCAACGCTGTCACTCAGAGTGCTGTCTTTGCCGAAGACTCTTTGAGTAGCAAGCTTGCACTTATCCAAGGACATGAAGTAACCAGCAGACCATATGAACTGTCGCATTTGCATGCCACCAAAGCCGAGATAAAATCCGCTGAGACCGCGAGTCTTCCAAAGATGAGAGAGAACGTCGGCAGTGCTCTTAAAGCGACCAGTAGAGTCCAGTTGCAATGCCAATTTGGCATTCTCAAAAGGGGAGATGACTATCATTTCGGGGATAGTAGCGATACCACCAGCAATGCCTTTTGTGAAAGCGGTACCATCACTCTGCTTTTTTCCGAATAAGACTTTGTGACAGATCGGTTGTAACCAAAATTTGATTGACCGTGAGAACGTAGCGCGAGCCATCTCTGCGCCGATACCTTTGGAGACGAAGCCCTTCATACCATGGGCATTATAAAAATCTTTCATGAGGGAGGGGACGCTCATCTTTACCCCAGAGGCTTGAGACATGGTCATGGCTCTGACGATGTCCACAGGATATAGGGTCACCGCAGTAACAACAGCAGCTCCGGTTACTGGCGGTAGTGAGACCAATGCTGTGAAGGACATATAAGAGTGACTAGGAACGACAGGACAAACGCGAGAAAAACTGATAGCAACAATGGCCAACAATAGAGCGCTGAGTTTCAATGGAACTCGAGACAGCCGCGGGTGCCTGTATGCAGAGATGAAGTATAACTATGTGGAACCTGCAGCGGGATGTAAACCACGAGCTACCGACTTGGATACGGCTCGTTGTTTATCGGCGAAAACCATGAGAAGATCATCGAACCATCCCAGTGAAGCATGAGAACTCAGTGCAGTGATAGTACCACACTCATGGAATCATTCCGATAGAGTAGCTTAGTCGTTGTGAGATGCTCATGATGCATTCTCACTAGCGACTCGTAACGAAGTGGTCCGATAGTTGCACAAAAAATGCAAGAAAATTATCCGAAGAATTATCGAGGTCCTAGCATTCCGCCTCAAAGACTCGAATGCCTAGCAACGTGACGATGTATCTCGTCAACGGCGTCGTTTGCCACTGTTCGAGTTGAGACGCGAGTTGAAATTTTGGCCGGATGTGGGATTAGAGAACATTGAGCTTTCCGTGAGTCTCCAAGGCTTACGGAAATTAGAGCGTCCCCTCCGTGGCGAATGTGAGTAACCTACTTCCTAGCTTATCCAATTGTCGTTAAAAGCGATCGGATGGGTTGTAGAGAAACATGCTCTACTATTGCGGAGCGAGTGAATCGGGCGGAGCATATACAATAATTCCATCTAATACACGAACAGGTTAAAACGGGTTGGCAGCTCGGTTGAACCACTGGAGATGTAAAAATGCGCTATAATACCATATCCGCGGTAGTATAGTGGTGAGTATTCCTGCCTGTCACGCAGGAGACCCGGGTTCAATTCCCGGCCGCGGAACTTTTCAGCTCCCTCATCAGCTAAAGTCGTCGATATTATACTGTACTCTACAATCTTTACATCATATGTACTACATATCTTACAACAACCCATCAGAGCGACTCAGCATCTGATAAGGACGTCTGCTACAAACTTGCCTCATGGGTTGCAATAGGCCTGGTCACACACACTGTGCGGATCGCAACCATTCTAAGGCTGCCAACCCATCTTTACCCCTCTCTAGAGCCCACTCACTACTTCCCAGTTCTACCAGCAGACCCAACGCCAGTGAAGACAACTGACTGACACCAACTCAACAAGCATCGAATGATAACCAACCACAACAAGGTGAATATAAGGTGATGACGATAAGTCATGAAGATGATGGCTATGAATTACTATCATCCTACGATGACCTCCTTCTATGCCGCAGTGGTAGAGGTACGGCACGCATTGGATCCCCTCCGAAAAGAGCCTAATGGACTCTCTACACACCCAGCACCACCGAGCACCTACCTCCAGCAGACGTCCACGGCCGAGCATCCACCATACGAGATTTCGCTTCTCCACGTAGAATCCTCACTATGGACGGTACCCTGAGCCTCGAGCTAGCACAGACAACACGGTATAGCTACTACTACTTTTCCAATAGTATCTTCCCTCGATGGAGCTTCTCTCTATTGATGAAGTCCCTCACTCTATTGGGTACCGCATTTCCTTGAATTCTACTACTATTATCCTCAGCGTAGCTGCCATGCTCCAGGAGCACCTTACAGCTCTTCCTACCCTCTATCGCCAACACCGAGTCAGCTCCTGAGCCGACTGGGTAGTCCTCACTGAGGAGACCGCCACCTCTAAACCTTCCAATCAGTGGTACCCCACCTATATCTCGTCCGAGCATTAAAATGAAAGCCCATGGTGCTGGTAGTAGGCTTCGGCAATGGCGGCTTACACCTCTTCCCCACGCACTCCATCCCTCCAGAGTCCCTTTGCCAGTCAGGATAGAACTCATGCGAAATCGGCTGCTTATACCTACAGTAGATTTATCACCCACAAAAGAGACTCACTGGACCCCCTACAAAAGATAGGCCTCTCGATCGATATGTGTTTGCACAGCTGGCTTCAGCATTGCCTCCTTTCGAGCTCCAGGATACACTACGTAGTCGTCAGAGTATCTACTCCTTCCATTCTGTTTGGGGCTAGGCCCTCCAGCTGGACCTGTCCAAGACCAGCCTAGAGCAGCCCAAGCCCACTCGCCGTTACTCGACGCAGGACGGAAGGTCTTCGCTAGCTCTCTATTTACGACTGCTCCGTGCAAGGGCAGCGGTTGGTACTGCTCCCGATAGGCAGACATATCCCGTGGCCAAAAGGGCGCTCTGTTAGGTTTGAACTCGCCTGTGAAACGCGCATTATGGTTTTGATTAGTCACACAGAGCTCACCCCGTCGTGCCATATCCTCATCTATTTTGTGGACGCGTGACAAGTTCTGAGTGCTCCTCCTGATAGCAGGATTGGTCTCTTTCAGTACAGACGACTTGTCAACAAAGGCTTCCTTCGTAGAAGTGCTGTAGTACAGCTTTCGAATATCCTCCGACGAGAATGAATTTTGTATCTAGAAAGATACACCGCCCTCAGGGATCCAACCCGGGACCTATCAACACCACCTGCGGCGTGAAACCCTGCGACGCCATCAGCTTCTTCTTCGCATCATTCACACTCGGCATCAGCAAACAAGACTCAACTGAGACCCGGCACATCCCCCCCCCAAAAACACAACCTCCAACACTTCACAATCACCATCATTAAAATGAACGACGACTCCAACAATTTTCGCCATATCATGAGCTGCATGCCTAACCCGAATTGCCACTGGCTATTTGCCAGCAACAACCGAAATCGAGGAGAAGACTCACAAAGAATGAGCACAGCGCTACGTTAGTCATAAAACTTGCCATAGGTACAAGATGCTAATAATACTGGGGAGATCGAGGCGATCGAGGATGAGGCATAAGGCACGACACAATAACAGTGATGTCGTCAATCACAACGCCTCCCCCTTGGTCTAGCCACCTCCTACACGCCTTCTTAGCGAGGAACTCCGCAGCTTCCTGGGCCTGGCTACTACTAGTAAGGATCATGCTCACTAGGCTAACAGCCTCATCAGACGATATGAACTCCCACACACCATCACTGCACACGAGCAAGAACGGGTCTCCAGGGTGCCACGAGAAGTTGTTAGACACATACGACAGCCCCGAGGGGCTACTCCGCTCAGGATCCCTCACCACCTGCTTTCTCCGAGTATCAGGAGTAGGTATAACTCCTGCTCTATAGTACGCTATTAGATCCCCCATGGCCCTAGACATATTCAAACCAGGATAGCTGTGCCCCCTCACATAAACCCGGTAGCAGCAATGACCGTCGTAGCCAACCTGAAACACAACCAAACCACCAGATATCAACTCTCGCCTAGGACTACCCTTCCCCCAGTCTTTTCTATCCTAGCCCTCTCCTGTGGCCGCTCAGGGCGATGGTCCGTGGTCATCTCCACCACCGTAGGAGACGAGCCGTACGCCAGCACTGCCCTAGAGTCCCCAACCCATGCCGCGGTGATGGTATCCGTTCCATGGCTGCGGATATAGAGCATAGACTAGGACGACACTCGAAGAGCTCACCAGTGGACGCAAAGGGTGGATGTGCTTCCACTGCAAGACGCATCAAGTTCACCCGACTTGGTCGCCAGCTATGACAACTCCATACCACTCCATTGTCAACTCTTTGCGTACCTCTAATTTATCCTGTATCGCTGGGAACCACGTCCTCAAGGCTTTATCCAGTTGTGCCCCCTCCTGAATGGACTCCTTAGGGTGCTCCAAAATCAACTAAAAAATAGTGTTGCAGCGCTGGCCCTACTACTACTACTACCTTCACCAACTGTTCCTTTACGAAATTGGACACGTTGTGGCCATGCAAGCCATGACCATCGAAGACTCCGTAGACCGTGAAATCGTCATCAACGTTCATTATGAGGAAGGAATCCTGAGGTCCCCCATGGTCCTCCTCAACCTCCCATGAACCTACCTGATTCGGCGACTCAGGCTTCAGCCCTTTCTTACAGGCATACCCAATGCCACTGTTCCTCCCAGGCAATCCCCCCAATACTCTAGTGTCCTTGTCTTTATATGCCTCTCTATGGTGCAAGTCTGAGTCCGTTGTAGAAGCTATGGACCACCGTCGTCCCTTGACGCCCTCCTCAACCTCAAAGGCTCTCGATAAAGCGTCTGCTTCTGCTACGTCGTCCACACCAGAGACTTGCAGCCTTCGTGAAGATGATGATGATGATCGAGAGAGTAATGATCGTATGTTAAAGGACCTGAGGGAGGAGTGGTATCAAACACGCCCTGGATTTTATTATAACCTTCTATGGCCCTCCTCGCAAGGGTGGGTTATTGACAGCTTCCTTCGATGTAACGCGTCTGGTGAGGGCGAGACCCTCGACGACGGAGAAGCCGTGGAGGGACTGCAACCCATGCTCAAATTTACTTCGTAAAACTATTTTTACTCGGGCGGAAAAGTGCGCAGAAACAAACGTTTTATCTTGTGTAAAAACGCTCATTCGGAACAAATTACACAGTTATAATCGTCCTAAGCACCCCGTACTTAAACGGCGGTAATCGGCAGTTTTCGGTGGTAATGGCGTCCTCAGTAGCAGAAGCTCCATCCTCCTCTTCGAGTCTTCGTAAAAACGTGGCCTCTCCTCCACCCCTTGTTGACGACGATGAAGACGATGATGAATTCTCCCGCCTACTCAACGCTCATAAGAAGGCACGCGACGACGGTGGAGGAGCGCCTCCTCGGCAGACCCAAGTACTACTAGATGCATCTATGAGAGTAGCTTTGTATAATCTTGTCAGAGTTCAACAGTTGATGGTAGCGCTCGGAAGCCACCTGGGAAACGACAGAGGGTTGTGGGCTATGGCGATATTGATGGTGCTGGCGCTCGGAGGTAAATCCTTCTTGTATTAGATTGGCTTGTCAGATGTGTATAGATATACCTCTGAGAACCCTAGGCGTCGAGGAGGAAGGGCCATGCCAGTCTCCCAAAGGGAGCATACGGCTATGGGTAGTAGTAGTAGTAGCAGTAATGGCAATCGATGACGGCAATGTTTGACTTCGTATTAGGTCTAGTGCCCCCTCGACCGTTAAGATTTCCCTTTCCACCCTACTGTGGACCTCTCGCCAAACTAGTAGTACCACTCCTCCGCCACTTCCTCCTCCTCCTCTAGGTCAACTCAGGTGTCCAGCGGTCCTCCCCCTCCTCTCCCAGCCGACGAGAAGTCCGTCATGATGAAGGAGATGCTAGACCGAATACAGTTCCTCACTGAAGAGAACGAACGGCTTACATGGATAGTACTACCGCCACCACCACTCACATCAGCCCGAATAGACCCCTCCCATAGGTGTCTGATCAAAAGCGGCTCCTTCGGAATGACGGCGATGGCCGCGCGTCGATGCCACCACCCTTTGGAGCTCCCCCGCCCCCAGGGGGCCATCGCCATCGACGTGAGGATGAGTCTGACAGACCATCGATTGAAGCTTCTGATGTGGTAGCTCCCGCTGACCAGGCAACAGTACTTCCTCCATGGAGATCAAAGAAAACGCCCACCAGCTCTCTGCCCCACACTGGTGAAGACCTCTTGACGGCTCCTACTGAAGAGCATAAGACGGCGACCACTCGGAAGGAGGCGGCTCCTGAGGGACATCCCTCTCCTCCGCATTCCACGGTCTAGCCTTTGTCACTCCTACTGCTACCTAAGTATTATATACTTGCCCTTATAGGATTAGGTTAAGTATAGTATTTTCTATCACTATTCACGTTGTGAGAGATGAGCTGCGAGGTCCTTCGTCTCCCTAATATCGGCTATATCTATCTCAGCTTCTTGATTATCCCCCCCCCTCTATGCTCCTTCGGCCTGTCGGGAGTTCCTCGGCGATATCACCGGTGGATGATGATGATGAAAGAGGAGGAGAAGGGTCGGACTTCTGGAAAAGCTGCAATCCCTGCGAAGTCGAGAAATCGGGTGTTTCTTCCATAGGTTTGACTCCCAGCCATGTGGTACTTTGCATGTGCATGCGTTATTCGGGTCGGGGACATTTGGCACAGGAAAAGGTTTATAGAAAAGGAGAATGATTATTTCTCCCTACGATGGATCCAGTACTTGTTGGCATGGTAAGACCGAACTTCAGTCACCGGAGGGTACAGTTGAATGAGTTCGACAACCGAGTGATAATGAGGGCTTCGTGAATTGTGATAGATAGTTTGGTACCCCCCCCCCATGACCACAGGCAACAGTGACTGTTCCCAGACAAATCAGAAGCAGTTAGTGACCAGGTCACTGACTAGCTTCTGTCTAGGTTTCCGAGGCTGCCGCTGCCTTAGCTGTGTTGTTGTCCAATAATACCATTTCCTTCCGAATACCACGTCCCACTGATTTGCGCTGAAAAGTTACTACTACCAACACTGCGCAAAAAAGATAACCAAAACTTGTCCACCGCAAATGAAGGGGAGAGACGATAATCATCTCCTTTCCTTTTTGTTCTTCGTGGCAAGTGCAGGCTCGGTCGTGGCGTACATTTTGAGATCATCCCCAGAAAAGACACCCATGTTCCGAAGTCTGATCAGCAACACCCTTCAACACTGAATCAGTAATGCGTGATTTAACTCAGCTACGAGGTTGATTATGTTGTCGGGGCCTTTGTACTCAGTGAGGGGCCTAGGAAGGCTCCTGAGGGCATCTAGAGAGCCATCGGCGATTGGAACCTTCTCCTGCGCCTGCACTAAAACCAGCCTCCATCGTAAACTGAGCAGGATCATCCTGGGGTAGGATGGTGGTTGACTTCATTAGTCGACCTCTTCACAAATTTCACGAATGTGTCGCAGTCGCTGTCGTCTCCCTCAACCACGACGACCCCCGGGTACCCCCATTTGTAGTAGCCTCCAAGGGACAGCTCATCTACCGGATATTACAATCAGGCGGCGACGCTAGTAGACCTACTAGCCCAAGTCCGGAGGAGCTTCTTCTTCTTAGGATTCCGTATATGATGAAAATAGAGAAAGCGACGACCAAGCACCAGTGGTATATTGTCTCTTTCAACTCCCTGCACATGACGAGACGATGCACAACCTCCCCCGATGGGTTCTCACTGTTTTAGGACACCCTGGACTACTCCCCGCCGCAGCCTTCATAACCCACCGTCGGCCTAGGGTTAGGTTGATCACAGTTGTCATGATGACTGCGAGGGAACCTCCGTTCACTCCTGTTGATGACAACACGACTTCAGGGAGAGAGTAATTCGGAACGGATAAAGGTAAGAGTGTGTCAATGGACTTTATAAAGGAGGCGCAGACAACACCAGTCGTGTTGCCAGCCGTCGGTGATGGTGGAATAGACTAGTTCTTCTTCGGCTTCTCCTTCTTAGTGGCCCTCACTGGGCCGTACATCTTCATGCAGGTTAGGAACAACTCCTCCAGACCATACTCGCGGCACCTACCAGGGAGGCTCATTTGAATCTTCTGCGCTGAAACCTAGGATACTACCTTGCTGCGATGTCGCTCATCTGGTCCGGTCCGTATTCGATGAACTCATCCTTAGGGAACGCCCGTAGGTCATCGACACTCTTTCCCTCTGGCACGGGTATCTGCTCCTCCCCTCGAACGGCCAAGTACATCCATCGTAACCTTAACCGCACCTCCAGTGACCACCACCAGACAGTTCCTCACCTATTGATCAAGTTCACGTATTCCGCACAGTCCTGTTCGTCTCCCTCTAGAATGATGACACCAGGGTAACCCCACTTGTAACAGCCTCCCATATGGAATTCCTCTGAGCACAATCGTCGAAAGTTTTCATACCACACCTTCACCTACTCGCCCACTCCTTGATCAGCTTCTTCTTCACAGGGTTCCTAATGTGATGGGCGTAGATAACTCTGCGTCCCAGCATAGGTGGCTGATCGGTCTTCTTCTTCCGAGCCGAGAGATGGACGGTGACCTTCTTGGTCGCCCCCTGAGGTCGGCGTTAGTCAATATTGGCATATTTGGTCGCTTTCCTCAACCGAGCTCACGAGTTTCGTCAATAATTATAGAAAGTTTATATATGCGAATTGGAGTAGAAGTGTACAGAAACCAATGAAATTTCATCGGTTGCATATTTCGCCACATTGGCATGAGTCCCCTCCTGCCCTCCTCATCGCCTACCCTAATAGGAACTCTCGCCGCCCATGCAACAGCATCATCGTCGTCCTCTGAATGCTCCTTCCTGCGGGCCCTCTCAGCCTGTCTCGATGCTTCAGCGATCTGCTATAGTGAATCCCCCTCCAAAGATCCCACATCCTCCCCCACCTCGTTGATGGACACCCGTGCTTGCTCTAAAGCAGCCAACAGGGGGTAGTCATACCCGGCCTCGATCTGAATCTTTATAGAGGCCATCAATGCTTCGTCCAACCTCCCTAAACACGACCATCTCCTCAGCTCCCAGGACCAACGCTCTACTCAATTTGGGCGAAATCGACTTCGAGCCTTCCACTGCGATGACCTCAGGAAGGACTCTCCTCTCCCTGGGATACCCAGGCGGTAAGGTGATGATAAACGTTGCATACGGCTCGTCGTCCTCCTCCACCTCGTCTTCATCATCATCGTCATCATCTCCTACCACATCTCCTCCTACTGTGATAGCGTATCTGATCCAACGGTGGCCCTCATCCCTTTCGAGCCGCCCTACGTCGCCTCCCCGTCGTGAGTATCCTTAGGCCGATGGAGCCACATAAAATCGGAATCGGGCTGCCTGCCATATACACATTCGAGGGCCTCAGCCTCATCGAGTTGGAGGTTAAGACAATTGTTCTCTCGGAAGGGCTTCTCAAGTGTGTCAATTCCCCTTCTGGGAGGAACTATGTGTGACATGTGATATTCTGGAGCATCGGAATTAGCTCCCACCTCCCACTACAATTCAACAGCAACAGTTGAAAGGAACATCATCAATAACAACAGAAAAAGCTTTGAACTGATAGCGACTACTTTTTCGACGTTTTCTTCTTATTTTTCTTCGTCTTCTTATCACCTCCCTTATTATCGTCCTCGCTACTAGTGGTATACATCTTCATGCTGGTCATGAAGAGCTCCTCGAGCCCAGCATCCCGACACCTATCATGGAGGCCAACACCTCCACTCTCCTCCTCCCATGACGTCCCCTCCTACCGTTGAGCAATCTCACTAACTTCATCAACCTTGTATTGGGTAAACTCCACCGGAAAGGCGCGCATCTCGTCCAGAGTCTTCCCCATCGGTACTTCTATCTGCTCCTCCCCTCGTACCGTAACCATCCGAACATACCTACCATTCAACCTTCCCTAAGTGTACTCTTGCCGCCGCCGACGACCGACCTCGTCACACGGTTGACATAGTCAGCACAGAGGCTCTCCTCCCCCTCAATGACGATGAAGTTAGGGTTGCTCATTCCTCCCAGTCGGTAGTCCTCTGAGCATAGCGATGGTAATATGCAGTATAACAGAGGATACTACTGGCCAGCTCCCGTATGAATTTTATTTTCATCGGGTTTTTGATAGTATGCACGACCATCATCCTACGTCCCAGTACCTCCCGTCCAGCTGAAGGAGTCTACACAGCGGAGCAATCGCGAGAATAGGAGATACCCCACTCCCTCACCTCTGGACTGGACGTCGCGTTTTCTTCCTTAGAATTGTCGTTGGCATCCTGCTGATCCTCCCCGACCTAGAGTCGCATTAAACCCCCTTCCACCTCTGATGACCACCCACCTGAGTAATGTACTGTCGAGTCGACTCCACAGCCGCTATCAGAGGGAACACGTATCCGGACTCCAGTTGAGTCCGCACATGCTTCAGCAAATACTTCAACACCTCCTCCCCCAACATCTCCGCATCTGTCGCAGCACTGACCTCCTCTACTACGACTTCCGGTGATCGGCTCTTCTCCAGAGGATATCCCGACGGTAGTGTTATTATGAAGGTAACGCTGACGACAGATGGATGAGAGTAGCTCGTCAACGTCACCGAGTATCTAAGGACACACAACTCGCCCTCCCCCCTCCCCACATCCTCCACTACGCCATCCCATCGTCACTATCGGAGCCCTCCGGCCTGTGCAGCCACATGAAGCCTCCATCGTCACTGTACATCTCCTCGAGAGTCTCCGCTTCTTCCAATTGCAGCTCTTCCCACGACATTTCAAACCACTAAGACCACCCTGGGCACACTGCCAACTCAGCGACTCGTCAGAAGCAGCAGTAACAAAGGCAGTCCTTATCGTCACTTGATCGACTACACATGTTGATAAGGGAGTTCGGAATTGTAGTAAACTTGGTTCATGCACACTTCCACGCTTAGCAGCTCGAATCTCTCCTACGGCATGCAATGCAGCTACAACGGGGATTTCATAGCCTTCCTTGAGCTCAGACCCTTTCCTCGACAACTCCCCCCCCTCCCCATCACTCGCTCACTTCGGGGACCCCCGCTAGGACCTTAGTATTATCGGGAGTCGCCCTGGGTTGGTGACGATGAAGGCAGTAGTCAGGGGAGGAGCAGGGGTAGCCAGTGACAGCCCTCTAATTATCATCTCGCCCCCTCAACCACATCGAGTATGTTCAGCCGAGTAAGCCATCCCCTGGATGCCTCCTCCTCCTGTCAGTCCAGACTCCATCCGGCCTCTCAACGATCGTCGTTCTCTTACCCATCGCCCTCCCACAACTACATCAACACAATCCCCCATCACATACAACAACTACATTATCATCATCATGAAGATCACCATTCGCCAGCCATGGCTTGACCGTAGAACTCTATTCCAGCCAGGAAGAGGTTATGCGTATTACCAGAGTTAACTCCGCCCTGAACAAGTCTGAAGACCCGAAAGGCCCCCCGCGACTCCGGCGATTTCTCTATCGGAAAGTAACTAAACCAACCCCCTCCAACACTACCCTCACACCACCATGTACCACCTCGTCGCCTTAGGTTCTCTCAGACTTCCACACATCTTCTTCTCATCCAGTATAACCCAATCGTCTCCATCATTCGATCCCATCACATTCCAACTCATCAGGCACTGGGCGCTCGAGTTCCTGTTCCGAAGGCAGTACCTGAGGGCCATCCCCAACATCAGTAAGAGCTACAACGGAAAGTCTACCCTGTCAGACGTAGGGTCCTTCCTCGTCCAAAATCGACCTGTACCCACGACGACGGCTCGTTCTTAGTGCGGAAATCCACTGACGCCGACCGGCCGACGATATCATCCACTGAGCCCCTTCCAACACCTGAGGCGATGACAATGCCCATAAGGGGGATGATCAGTTCCCTACTGCTCGCCATGACCTGCACCTCCATCAACTTGGACGCAGGATTTCGC